TTCAATTTTGTAAAAAACGCAATCAAAATTTGATCAATTCATACAGTTGGTATACCAAAAGACATTTTTGGGAAGTTAAGTCATCTGTTTGACTGAACATATTCTCCTTATAGCGCTCTTACACGATATGTATTTGCATATGCTACTTTTCTGATACGTTCTAATATGTGATACATACGAGTAGATACAAAAAAGTAGCATTTTCATATGCAAATACATATCGTGTAAGAGTGCTATTATCAGGCTTTTTAATTGTATGATGAAATCCAGAAACGTAAATTTTGAATAACATCTCTGTATTAATAATCGTGCGATATGCAACAACCTTTATGACTTAAGTAATAATAATAATAATTTTTTAATAATACTTCTAAGCAATTTATTTTTTTAAATACATGTTTTTTCTAGTGTTGCCAGATTTTTTTTCAAGTCATACGGGCAGGGCCGAATTCAGGGGAGGGCAACCGGGGCTACAGCCCCGGGGCCTCCACAAAAAAGGGGCCCTCACAATAGAGACTTCGGAAAAAAAATTCAAATTCAGATTAGTAAATAACTTTTCCTTTCATACTTTTCTTCGCGAGGAATGAAGCAGCGCACCTTCTACAGAAGATGGGTGGTCTCAAAACCGCTTTATTTGCAATCTTTTGGAACGACATCTTGGAGCAATTCAACGCTACAAGCAAGATGTTGGAAGACCCGAAAATGATTCTTGAATCTTTGAAATCATTCGTGGAATCCGAAAGGAACGATTTTGATAAATACGAGGAAGCTGCCAAAAAAATATCTCAGACTGACGAATACGTACAATCACGCACCAGAACGAGAAACGTGAGGCTGAATTCGCTCGATTACGGGAAAGCACAAGACGTAAATCTGTCACCGAAGGAGAAATACAAAGTATCCGCCTTTATCCCAGTAGTCGACAAGCTATGTGTTTCTCTTACCGAAAGATTACATGCCTATGAAGCTGTACGTTCGAGATTTGGATTTCTTAATCACATCGAAAAGATGGATGCTGCAAATTTGCACGCTGCAGCAGAGGCATTGGTGAAAGTTTATCAGGATGATTTAGAACCTAGTCTTGGTAATGAGTTGGTTCCATTTGTATCTTTGATCGACTCAAACAAAAAGGACTATGGAAATCTCCGGAACTATTTTACTACCAAATTTTCGAAGATCAAAATTGCAGAGCTACATTCCCAAACCTTGAAATTGCATTGAGAATGTATTTGGTTTTGATGGTTTCAAATTGCACTGGAGAGCGCTCATCTTCAAAAATGAAAATTCTAATAATATTATAGTTTAAAAAAAACTAAAACCTCGCTATTAAAATTTCCATTCGTACTGTCATCAGGTTACTTTAAGAACAGAAGTTTAAAGCAATTCCCATTCGTACTGTCAACAGGTATGTAACTTGAGAATGGAAATCGCTGCATCTTTTAGGCGCATCAATATTACATAGTTACATCCCGAACTAATAAAAGCGAGGTAAAAAATTTACTTTGAACCACGAGGGGACAAAACCGTCTATCAAAGCTTTCTCTCCTGAGCATTGAAAGAGATTTGCTTCGGGAACTGGATTTCAGCGAAGTAATCAACGATTTTTCGGCGAAAAAAGCTCGGAAGGTTCCGTTCGTTAACGCTAAAATTTAATTTTAGATGATTCTTGTTTCCGATTATGTTTATATTTTATTCGTTAAATAATAAAAGAATCTATACTTGGTTTCACAATAAATTATTTATTGGAAAACTCGACTGAAAAAAATTTTTCATTTTATTTGGAAAATAATTTGGGGCCAAGGGGCCTCCACTCCTTTGTTGCCCCGAGGCCTCCAGACCTCTAAGTCCGGCCCTGTATACGGGACACAAACGCATAATTTGTCCCAAAAATACGGGATTTAAAAAAATTTAACGGGACAAATGAGAAATAAGGGATTTGCTTTAAAAAGGCCATATATTAACAAAGGTGATCCATTTCAAAAGTAATGTTCAGACAACACTTTTTAATTAAAAAAAATATATGTATGTAATATGTATGTACGTAGACATATAATTGACAAAACCATAAAAACAAAGTAAGAGATAGAGTTGCGGTGAAAGTAATAGCAGGAAAATTCAAAATGATGCTGTTGGCAACTCTTTTTTTATTTCTTGTTTATAATTTTCGTTTAAAATATGGGTCGATCTTTACAAGATTCCTCATAAATAAAAGTTTCAAAGCCTGCACAAAGTTCACAAAAACTAATTAAACTTAAAAACAGGTTCATCAAAATTTCGATTAGATTTCCTAGTAAGATTTCGAGTAACTTTATAGCGCATTCAACTTTAGTATAATAATGTGTAAGTTTCAAGTCGCTAAAAATGACCATTGATTTTTTGCAATTTTTTTTTGTGCAGGGTGTTTCAATACAAAAGTCCGTTTTGTTCATGCGCTATATGGAAAAAAAATCGAAGCACCCTCCACAAAAAAATTCTTAAAAATCAACGGTAATTTTTAGCTATATTTCTCTTACAGAGTTGCATGCAATGTTGAGTAGAAGTTTACAGGCTGAAATGAATAATGAAATTTTCGAACATACGGGAAAAATCTTGTCCCAGCGGAACATTTCATATTTAATGCAAAATACGGGACGTCCCGGCAAATACGGGACATTTGGCAACGCTAGTTTTTTCCTTCTTAGATACTCTTTCTCCATTTTCGTTCCTGGAAACTTGGGCTTTCGCAAAAATAAGTTCTTCCTGTAAATTCAAACCAAGATTATATAACTAGGAATTTCTTCCTCGAACAACTAATTTTAGCCGGCGATGCACAGTGGGACGTCCCCATATAAGCTGCGGCCAAAAGTAGTCACCGTACTAGAAATTCGGTGAAATTTCATATATGCGCTGTTCGGCACTTAGAAATGAAGAAATGTGGAAAATGGCAAAATTCAACACGCTACCACGCCCACAGCTCTAGTGGGCGGAAATAGTATATGTTATCCGATTTTGATGAAATTCAGAGCATATCCTGGTTTTAATGGGAAACGCATAAATCTGAAAGATCGTCAAAATCGGTTTAGATTATCGTCCAGTAATTCTAGAAAAACAGGAGCAAATTTAAAAATAAATATTTTTTGATGAAATTCGGAGTGCACTGCTCGTTTAAGCAAGAATTTTCCAACTTGGAAGATAATAAAGAATTTCTTATTACGGCGGCTACCTTCTAAACAACTTTTTTGGCTCCAAGTACTAAATTTTATGAATTTGGGAGAAAATGAACAGGCACATTTATTTTATTTCTAAAGAAGTTCCTATTTTTTCATTTTAAAAATAACAAAACGAAAACACTCACAATACCTGCATACTAAATTAAGTGCACGATATGTATTTACACTGAAACTTTCAATTTACCTACATTTTATACAACAAAAGCTGATCTAAGGTCAGTAGGACTCTTGCCATCGAAAATGGATCTCGTCCAGAGAAGCGTTCATTTTTGGCTGAATGTTGAATGTGATTAATAGATTGGCGAATCATTAATATCTACATCTTCTTCAATTTCCATTTTAAGTTGCATATTATTTAATTTATGTACACACCAGAGTCTTTCCCTTCAGGTGTACAATAAAAATTCAATAAATTTTACAGGAGGTGGGTCTATAAAAGGAAGAACAGAAGCTGAACTCGCAGTTCATCGCAGCTGGAACTATTTGAGATATGATACGCATATTTAATGTTTACTTGTCCTAAGTATAATTTAGCGCGCTTCCTAGGTCCTTTTTAAATATCCCTTTTTAAATTAAGCACTCGAAAAATTTTATACTCACAAAATTATGTATAATTTCAAAGTAAACTATTTTATACATTTCAAAAAATTTATAAAACTTAAAGCAATGCTTGACCACAGATATATTCAAAAACTGCTCATCAATCAGATTGGTTTTTATATATGCGCACAAATGGAAAAATTAATTTAAAATATTTGCGACGAAATCAAAATTTTTTCTTACAAATTTATTTTTTCGCATTCTTCCTACTTTAAGCTCGTGTCATGATTGCAAATATGCAATTTTATCAAAAATTCTTTTTGGTTTGGGTTATCTGAATATTTTGCTATGTATCTGCGTATTACTTTTTCAGACTTCGCTGACCCGTTTTTACTACTTTTGGCCGCTGTAGTCCCATTGTGCGATGCCACGCTGCGCCACCGTTTTGCGTTCTAGAAAAGGTGTATGTTTCCGATGGATTTCAGTCATGTACTTAGTGATGTTCCGATACCAGTACTTAGAAGTATATACTCGAGTAGCTCTACCAAGTACCCAATATTTTTTGTAATTCGATACACGTGGGTATCGAGTACAATGTGCAAGTATTTACTTGTTTGCTAAATTTGGGAAAATCAACTGAAAAGAGATCTGTGTTGTAGTTTTTGAAAAAAACGATTCAAGATGTGAACCACTCGATTTCGCTAGGGTTAGAACTAACGAAAGTGGAGAACGAAAATCGTATCGAATTAGAGGAGGATGTGGAGCCAGCCTATGATTTGCGGAAGCGTCGACTATAGATCGTTTTGAAACCGAAGAGTCAAACACAAGTAAATAATGAGCTTTCTCATTACTTAACATCTCGTATTTCAGCACTTCCAAGTAACCCCATTTCAAAATAGAAGGATATGAAAAAGCATTTTCAGCTCTTCATAAGCTTTTCTCCACTGTATGTCATTATATTGTAAATGGGCATTGAATTAAAATTTCTTGTGTGAGTACTTTCGAGTACAAGTAGAATCGAGTATTTCCTAGCGATACTTTGCGAGTATTCTCTTCGATACTTTTAATGAGTACAGGCAAAGAACGTAAATCTATAAGAAGAGACAACACGTTATAATTGTAGCGAGTGTGAACATCAGGAGCGTGCCTTCTCTTTTCATCCAATCACAAAACATATTTAGGCAAAAGAGAAACCACGCTCCTGATGTTTCCACTCGTTACAATTATAACGTGTTGTCTCTTATAGATTTACGTTCTTTGGTACAGGCATCGAGTACATGGTGGTATCGGACGAACACTACATGTACTGACCAAAAGTCAGCAGAATATTTCGAGTTATAATTACTAGAAATAATCCCCGAAAATCGGGGTGCTCGTGGTCTACAAATCTGGATATTTCTTTATTCTAAAAACCACATGCATTGCTTTTGGTTTTTAACTTTAACTTTGGTATTTTGCCAAGATCATACTCTACTCAATACGTATACAAATTATAATTTTTATTGCGGACGCTACAATAATTTTGAATTGGCGACGTCTAAATACAAACGGAAGTAAGTGTTGATTCGCTGGACTATTAATTTATATAGTAAAATTCCTTTCCCTTGTGAATCATATGTTTTAAGTCCATTAACTAACCCTTTATATATTCATCAATACATATTTAGGTCGGAGATTAACATCACAACCAGCGTGGCCACTAACAATTTTTTCCCCTACCAATTTCTTTCCCAAATCCGACCAAAATCGTTTACAACCTACCAAATAAATTTCAGTTACAAAAAAGCATTCTGAAAGCATACATTTATTTAAGATTAATAGCCCAATTCTGTATCGGTGACAAACATTTTTTAACTATGCAATGACTACTGCAATGAACGTAGCAATGCTTTGCTCAATGTAAAAATTTTAAAATCTTTCGACGCAAATATTTCGAAAATGGTTTAATGAATCTTAAATCTGTAAAGTTTAGCACTTTAATTTGATGTATATTTTAATATAGAATTTTGCAACTCAGTGTTTTGAAAAGCATAATTGTCAAAACCAGAATTTTCAAAAAACGGAATTTTGTGTAAGCAGATTTTAGAAATCAAGAATTTTGTTAAGCAGAATTTCGTGTTACGAATTTTGTAGTAACCCGATACCAACCCTTTAGATTTCATGCAAATTGTTTTGAACATATGTACATTTACTTCGCTATTATGAAATTATTGATAATAGGTATTAATTGAATCGAAAGAAATTTCAATGAAAACAAGACATAATATTCTACTACATACGTACATACATATAATCTTTGATGCGACCTTTTCGATTTCCGATTCGCAAAGAAATATTTAAATCGCTTTTAAAATCAAAACGAAAATAATCACCTATACACATACATATGTATGTACATATATAGTATGTACATATGTACGCATGTATATTAGAAATTAGGTACACATACAGTACGCCAATGCCAAAACTTACAGTGACGATGCGCCAAGGGTATATTCGTACAACGCACTTTTCGTTGGATGGTCACTTGCTCAAGTTCGAAGCTGAACTTAGTATTACCTATCGCACTTGAAATCACAAAAGTAAAACTTGATACAAAAACAAACAGGAAGCTACTTCGCACGTATACAAATTACTTGTTTCGTTAGCGAAGATTGCTGCCAATCGACTGAATCTACGCAAACCCACAGTATGGCAATCGCAGAGACGTTGCTAAAAATGACGTACCACAAAATCAACATATCTCAGTGAATCCCAGCTAATCTCCGGTTCTGCTTTGAACAGAAAGTGTTAAAGCGAATCAGCAGCAGAGAAAAAAACTTCTAAGCGTGATTGCACTGTGTTTTAGTAATTTTGTTAATTAAGGGCCGTTTTCTTATGTAAGCTGTAAAATTGCCTTTACTAAAAGGCCAGATAAATTGTTTCTTACTTTAAAGAAATATCAAAGCAAGCAAATCAAAAAATTGTATTGGCAATGTTTAATTTAAAGTTGGGTAAAATTTTTTAAAGGCTTCATCGGGTAAGGGGCATTGGAGAAATTAATGCGCTGATAAGAAAACGAAAACTTGTATATTGGAACGATAAAGTGGCCGGTAATCTAAAGGTTAGATGGGAAAACGGAATATGGTAAAAGGCTAAACGAAAAATGTTACTGAGAGCCTTTCCTTTTAACTAAAAAGAAACTTTAGCTTCCTTTATAATGCATATGCAAGAATTGTCACTTCCCTGCAAGAGTCGCGATTACTCCATGTAAGCATGTAAAGAGTATTGAATGAACCGATCAGAAATTATTTGAGCAGTTTATTTTTAAAATGGCATAAGTAATTCCGTGCCGTCCGACTTCAGCCAAAAGCCGTGTAACTGCCATACCTAAACAAGAGCGTTGATCGTTGTGCTTCTTAGCTTGTTTTCTTCTAACATGAACAAATTGTATGTGTTAGAAGGAGACACTCTTATTAGCGCAACGCTCAACACGTTAAAGGGCCGTTTACATAAGACTTTCCTCGTTTTGCTTGAAAGTTCGAACTTTGACAACACAGCGTGAAACGCAGAAGGTATGCTACAATAAACGCTTTGATAGCTTTTGCGTTCTCCTTTTCCTCTATATTTTATATCTGTAAAATAGATAACAATATAATAATATGCATTAATAATAGCAATAAAGTTCCTGGTAACCTTATTACAACGCTTTTATCAACTTGCAATGTTGTGTTCCAGAAACTTTCAATGTTGTGTGTCCGACACCATAAAGCAAAGCTTTGAAAAGCTCCTATAAAAAAGCATAGTGAATAGGGCGAGGTAGATGACATCTAGATGTCGCCCTATGTACTACGTTTGCTACACCGGAAATAGACGACACGCCATTTCTTTAAATAAAATTAATTGGTGCTCGTTTGTATGTACATACATATGTAAATGCATGTGTGTGCACCTTTCTATTAATATCGTTGAATTTTTTTAATATCTATTGCAAACTTTTATTCAGACAGGACTAAAAAGTAGAAAATAAATAATATAAAAAAAACTTTTTAATATACAACGCTTTTATAAATGGACTAAAAAGTAGAAAATAATATTTCTCAGTCCCATAGAATTTGTTTTGATAACTTTTGATTTTGAAATTTTAGCAAAAGTCATTATAAACAATCTATGAAATTTAAAATGAAAAGCGTGGGGCGCATGTATTACACTTGAATTGATATGAAAAGTAATATATGTATGTATGTATGTGGGTATATGAATAACGACCGCTTAAAATCGATTTCAAAGTTCTACTTTCGCTGTAGAAATTTTAGGTCTACGTTATGTAGTTTGACTATTGTCAATTAAATCGAATGCTTTGTATTGCATGCGCTCCACGTTTTTCATTTTCAATTTCATAGATTGTTTATAATGACTTTTGCTAAAATTTCAAAATCAAAAGTTATCAAAACAAATTCTATGGGACTGAGAAATATTATTTTCTACTTTTTAGTCCATTTATAAAAGCGTTGTATATTAAAAAGTTTTTTTTATATTATTTATTTTTTGTCATTAAATGCAAATGCAAGCGCACGAGAAAAGATATGTACATGTAGACTGCTGATTGCCAAAGCGCGCAAAATTGAGAGTTGCCGATGATTTTGCTTCGCTTTGCTTTCCTCGCATTCTATTTAGCAAGACTCGTATACAATCATGTATTGAACTTATCTGTCAAAGCGGAATTATGAAGCAAAGCGAAGCAAAAGTCTTATGTAAACGGCCCTTAATTTGGGGATAGCGTTAACAATATGTATGTGTGTTTATCTTTCTTTTCGCCAACTAGAAAGATCTCTTTAAAATTTATTTCTGGGAGGAAAGTCTTTGTTGAAGTGTAGTTGGCCTATTTCCTAATTGTACGCAATCGATACTTCTGACTGAATCGTACAGCTGCAGGGTTAGAACTACGGAACGCGAGCAAAAAATAATAATTTCGTAGTTGACTTTTATCTATCGATAGTCCTCTGCAAGAACGACACAACTCAAAATTCAAAAATACAAAGCCCTTCCTACTCGTGCCTCAAATCATTGTCACATCCTTACTAAAAAATGAAGAAAGGATTACTAAAGTAAGTAGTAAGGATTAGACATGGATGGGTCAAGGGTTAGAGACATGAAACCAGGGGCGGTGGAAGACGCGGGTATGGTGGTTAGTACTACCCACCTGAAATTTTTAAATATGGGTAATTAATCACCTGAAATTTTTTAGAAGAAAAATAAGTCCAATTAATATCCTGTTTTAAACTGAAGAGTATTTTCGGAAGATATTTTATGAGATTTGATACTGAATCGGCAATGTTTTACATAACTTTCGAAAAGTACATTCCTGGTGAGACAGTAGTTTTGAAGAAAATCGTCACGTTTTATAATGGTCATTTTGACGAATGCAGACTCAATAGCGATACAGGTTTGGCCCTGTGCATTATTAGGCGAATATGTACGCTTCATTGGATTACTTGTTACAATTCCAAGGTCGTCGTGCTCTAACGAGAAGAGCTTTTCTGTTTTGCGTAGGATAAAAAATTATTTGCGCTCGACAATGCACCAAAAACGACTCAACCATGCAGGAATGTTGCATTCGTATACAAAAGCAGTTGATAAGTTATACGGGTGACAAACGCGCTCGCTTATTTGCATAAAAATCCTTTAGTTGCATTAACTCATGCATTTTCCTCAGGGAAATTTCCGATGACAACACTGGTAAAAACGGCCAGCTGTCTTTTGTATAAGTAAGCAAACAAAGCAGGCGAGTTTGGTGGCCGCGGTAGACGAGTGGTAAGAGTTGCGTGCTACAAGCCTGTAGCCACAGTATATCAGTAATAAACCTTTTTGAGTACTCCTCGGGGGTAAAATCTGAACAGGGCTTATAATGAGAAGGAGCATGAATTTTGCTGATCCATAGTTTTACACAAAATTACTGTGGAATGAAAGGTAGCAACAACCATACTATGGTAGAGTGGCACAGGTAATTTTGTAAACAAACAGTTTTCTTATAATTATAATAGATAATTGCTACTTTTTTCTAATATTCAGATATCCAGCTTGCAGCCAGAGCAGTGGTATGTGAGGTTCACTTAAATCTACTCATAATGTTGAAACAGCTCCGGATAATGGACCATTAAATGTGCTGGCTGAACTTATGGCCGAGTTGGGCAAAATTTATTCGAACGACGAATAACAAATGAATAAATTGTTTTTCTCGTTATTCGCAGATAATAAATAACTTTGTTTATTCAAAGAAGAATTATTCGAATGATGGTGCATTTACATGGTATGAATCTGTTCATAAGCCGTATGAAATTTCCTATAAAAGAAGCTCCAACTCTATGAAGAAATGAATGAAAGCGATATATATTTAACAATTTTGACTTATATACTTGGTAATATATTTTTTTTGTAAACATCAAAAAAAAAAAAATTGTATTTTGTGCTAGCTTCGAAACTAGAAGCTTATTTTTTTGTTAAATGTGCTTTAAAAAGGACCTACTGCCAATAAAGCCTTGTGGAGTGCTATTTTTCCATATTTGGAATGCTT